TGTGTGTGTGTGTGTGTGTGTGTGTCTGTGTGTGCGTGTGTGCTTGTGTGTGTGTGTGTGCGCATGTCTGTGTGTGTGCGTGGGGTGTGCGGTGCGTGCGTGCATGTGTGCGTGCACACAGCTGTCATATGTGAAATTACTCTCGTACCAGACTAACTAATGCAGGTACTGTTCTGGGTCATGCACACTTTCAAATAACTCACTATTGCAAATACCACCGGGTCACAAATATCCACATAAACATCCTGCATAATACCCATCCTCCCCCCCAACACGTGAGTTGAAAACGTTCGAATCGTGATTGGGTCGAATCGTGAATCGCTGCGGACCCTTCGCCGCGACGACGTAATTGACGCGGCATTTGTCATTGTCGTGGCAACAGTGGGACACGTCGTGCAGCAGCTTCGTGTGACGTCCGTCAATGCCACGGCTCTCGGCGTCGCGTGGGAGCGACCGGCCGAGCTAGGGGGCGCTGGCGTTGGCGGGGAGGATGAGGAGGAGGAGTACGAGGTCACCTACCGCCGCGTGACCTACCTCGCCGTCGGATGCCAGGACGGTGGCGCCCCCGCCAACCAGACGTTCATGACCCGGTACGTACTGTATGTAGCGTAGGTCGTTGCATGCATGTCCGGTATGTTAAGACGTGTGCGCGCTCAGGGGTTGCTTGGTGTGGGTTATTGTACTTTGGTATGATCGTAAGGGATTTAATTAGATCATTGGTGAATAGCTAGAGAGTATTGCTGGTGCAGATTATCATATTGATCTGGTACTGTAATGAGTTATTGGAGTAGCTCAAAAGTGTGATTAATTTGAGTTATTGCTTTGTGCTAGCACCTGTTATCGACACTAGCAAGTTTTAATTAAAGCCAGATTTTTATTAATTTTTTCGTTAATTCTGCATAGTATGTGATAGGGTCTAGCGTGACGTGCATGCAAAGAATCCTAGCCGACAATATGGTTTGATGCTACAGTTGCGACACCCCTTTCATAAAGAACAGTACGTGCTTTATTGCATCTTGCTACGACATATCGCGATCGGCTGTCTACTATCTTTGGTTGTTATGGTGACGCGTGTGACAGATACACGTGTGTGTGTCCTTCAGCGATGCGACGGCCATTCTCAACAACCTAGAAGCGTATTCGAAGTACATGATCGCGGTGCGGCTGGTAGATCAGCCCAGCTCGAGCGTCATCTACAACAGCACCGGCGACAGCAAAGCGGCGCCACCTAGGAACATCGAGCTGAGGAACAGCACCAACTCGGCGCTGCACTTTGTGTGGGAGGCGCCCCCTTGTGAGGAGCGCCGCGGAAAGTTCCGCGATTACGAGTTCGTGCTGAGACCGGCCGGTACGTATTCTTTTTTTTCGTTGGGAATTTCTTTTTTTTCACATCAAGTTTGGTCAAGGCAATTGAAATATCATTGCTTAATTTAGGATAATTTCATGGCAGACTCTGCCCAAAACCTTCTTCTCTAACGAAATGTATCAGAGATTTATTGTACGTTCGATTAATTACGATCGTCATTCTGGTGGGTTGCTGCTTCCATATAAATTAATTCATTCATTCATTAATGATTACAGATAGCAGTAACGAGGTGGCCGCGATGGGCACAGTCAACATGCACGGCAAGATCTTCAAAAGCCTGAGTGAGGACACGGACTACGAGTTCAGAGTCAACTACCGACTCGAGAAAGCCGACGGAAGCTTCGAGGCCAGCAATTGGTCGGAATTGTTTCTGGCGAGTACGAAACGGCAAGGTACGCATTTTGGCGAATGTCGCGCGTCGCCGTGTTTCGTAGGTCAACTGACGTCGGTGCGATTCCAACGTTTCTTTGGTAGTGTCCTTATTCATTAATGATTACAGATAGCAGTAACGAGGTGGCCGCTTCCTACGTGTTTTTTTGTATACTTTGATCGCATTCCTTATTTATGCGTTATGTTACAGTCGAAAAGTTTTTGAATTACTTAAATGAGCTGTCCATTCATCTTGAAATGGTTAAAAAAGTGCAAACATTTTGAGAATACGAAGCATTCGAAAAATGGCAATTTGAAATCATGCTGCATACGCGCAGAGTAGTGGAATCATCAAATTTTATTCCTAAACGATGCGTAATTGTGAAACATGGGCACGTAAACCGGTTGTGCGTTGAGCGTTGAATTTCCCGCTGTTTGATTTTCCGTTGTTTTTTTGAGTGTTCCCGGTGAATTTTCCGTTTCCCACGGAGTAGAGTCGAGCCTGTTGTAGCAGCCACCTCTATAGAACCAGACACCTGTACTTGATGATCACTTGGGGCTTCGCTTTAGTGGAAGCTATATCGTTGAACGACCTCTATAGAAGGGACGCCTGTCTATAAGGGTCAATTTTTGGGGAGTTCCTTTGAACGAGCATTGCACGCATTTGACCGCACTTGATTCGACAGTGAAACGTGTCGATCTCTCACTGTCTCTGAGCATTCTCTGACTGTTCTCTCACTGTGTCTAACTGTTCTCTGACTGTCTCTGACTGTCGGCCTGCGGTTTCAACGTTTCACTCGGTTTTCGTCTGTGCAGGGCTGAGCGCGCCGCAGGAACTCAAGGTGATGGCAGAGATGTCTGAGTCTATTGCTCTGAGCTGGACACCGCCGCCAGGAAACGTCGAGTCATATTCGATCAGGTAGAAACGAAGCTACGCGATTCTTATCGATACGTATCGCGATACTTGAAAGGGAAACTACCTAGTGAACTATACTCTATTGACTGGTACTCTACCAATCATGTGAGGACGAATTCTGCATTCTCTTCCATGCACATGCGACGAATTCTGCATTCTCTCCCATGCACATGCGACGAATTCTGCATTATCTCGCTTACACGTCCGACGAATGCTGCATTCTCTCGGATACACGTTTGACGAATTCTGCATTCTCTCTCATGCACATCCAACGAATTCTGCATTCTCTCTCGTGCACATCCAACGAATTCTGCATTCTCTCTCGTGCACATCCAACGAATTCTGCATTCTCTCCCATGCACATGCGACGAATTCTGCATTCTCTCGCTTACACGTCCGACGAATGCTGCATTCTCTTGAATACACGTTTGACGAATTCTGCATTCTCTCTCATGCACATCCAACGAATTCTGCATTCTCTCTCGTGCACATCCAACGAATTCTGCATTCTCTCTCGTGCACATCCAACGAATTCTGCATTCTCTCCCATGCACATGCGACGAATTCTGCATTCTCTCGCTTACACGTCCGACGAATGCTGCATTCTCTTGAATACACGTTTGACGAATTCTGCATTCTCTCTCATGCACATCCAACGAATTCTGCATTCTCTCTCGTGCACATCCAACGAATTCTGCATTCTCTCTCATGCACATCCAACGAATTCTCCATTCTCTCTGTGTGCACATCTAACAAATTCTACATTTTCTCGCCTGCACGCAGGTTTTCGAGCCCGCGCGTGACGGAGGGTTACCGGACGAGCATTCCGCACTCCGTCTACGCGAAGTCGTCGCTCTACTTTGTGCAGGACCTCGAGCCGAACACAGACTATCAGTTCCAGGTACATCTATCCTCCTCCCCTCCCGTCCTCCTCCCTCCTCCCTCCTCCCCGCCCGTCCTCCTCACTCCTCCCTACCCGTCCTCCTCCCCTCCGCCCGTCCTCCTCCCCGCCTCCCTCCTCCCCGCCCGTCCTCCTCCCGCCGCCGTCGAACCCACGCACCTGACACGTCCCTGGAGGCAAACACCTGTGTTAATTTGCTAATTAAATTGATTGAATTTGCTTGGATCGAGTGTATCACGCCTATCCATATGTTCGTAGGTATTATCGTCGTACGAATTAGATGGTATCGTTCAAAGTAAAACGGGGGGAGGGTTGTATGCGTGATTGCACCGTGTTTCTCATCGCCCGTTCGCTGCTCGTCGCGCGTGAGCATGGGCAAAAGCTGCGTGGGCAAAGCAGCCCATGGTGCGCCGTGACACGGAGGTTTAGTGTGAGATTCGCTATGTTGCAGGTGCGAGCTCACTACAGCACAGCAGAGAGTCCATGGAGCGAGTCGGTCGAGGCCCGAACCAAGCAGGAGAGTAAGTGTGCGATCGATCGACGTTGCTGCTTGTATCAGCCGCCGATGTTGTTGCGGAGTTTGATGTTGTATTTGTTGTTTTTGTCCAAATTTAAAAGCTGAAGAACGACTTGTTTCTGTATCAAACAGATTTTGACGTCGAATATATAACTTCCGTGTGAGTTCACAAGCTGGGGAACCATCCTCTAGTTTTAGTGACGCGCGATCACCGCAGGTGCATTTTGCTTCAGGGAATTAGATTTCCCTCACAGAGTGGGAGACAGATATGTGAAATAACTGTGGGTTTTTGTGTGAGTAAAAGCACCCAAAACAAGTCAGCATGTGCACGTTGCTTTGCAGAGCCCGGGCCGCCGCAGGACCTCAATATTCCAGACAAGGGCGAGACGTGGGCGCTCGTCAGCTGGATTCCTCCGTTCAGCCCCGGCGGCACCCTGCGCGACTACCTGGTGAGTGTGTGCGTGCGTGCGTGCGTGCGTGCGTGCGTGCGTGCGTGCGTGCGTGCGTGAGTGAGTGAGTTCATGCGCTATGACGTGCTGATCGCGTTTCCTTGTGCCAGCAGCCTCCTGCGTGGGATGGGTGGTTTCTTATCTCTGTACAGCTGTCTGTTGGGTGGAGAATTTTCAATATTATTTATTATCATTTTTTCCTCTTCGTTTCCTTCTCCCTCTGCCTCTTCCTCTTCCTCTTAGTCTCCTTTCCCTCCTTCCTCCCTCTTCCTTGCTCCCATGCACTTATGCTCTCTCTCTCTCTCTCTTATTCACTCACTCTCGCGTCGTCTCTAGTTAAAGGTGGAGGCACAGTAGTTGTACAATCCCACGGTGACGCTGAGAGGTGTGCCTCCCTAACTCCATGTAGTCTCATGTTCTCTCTCACACTCTCACGTTCACTATCACTCTCTCACACTCTCTCTCTCTCTCTCTCTCTCTCTCTCTCTCTCTCTCTCTCTCTCTCTCTCACTCTCACATCATCTCTAGTTGAAGGTGGAGGCTCAGCAGTCGTACAACCCGGCAGTGACGCTGACCGGGCCGGCCCGTCTCATGAGCATCGACACGGCGATCAGGATGTTCACGATCACTGACCTGCAGCCCGGCACCATGTACAAGGTGACGGTGGCCGCGCGCTCGACGGCCGGCCGCGGCGCAGAGAGCGACATCGTCTTCTGGACCGACATAATGGGTGCGATTCGGCGGCACTTCGACATTCATTCCATGTTTCTTCAACGTTCATTAGACGTTCGTTCAATGTTCCTTCAACTTTCCTTTGACGTTCATTCGAAATTCCTTCGACATTGCTTCGACTTTCATTTGATGTTCCTTCAATGTTCCTTCGATGCATGAAATAGCACATCGGTTTTGCCCGTTTGTGGCCTCGTGGGGGTTGTAGGTGTGTGTCTATTGGGCAGTTGTTGTTATTGGTGTGTAGTGTATTTAATATTTGGATACCCTTACGTGTCTGGGAGGTTATACAGTTAGCGCACACGTTTAATGTATTTCTCCTGCGCGATGCACATTGCAGAGCCACTCAAGCCGCTGCCTCCTGTCGTGCAGGCCAACGATGCGAAGGCTGGCACCATCACCGTGCTGCTCAGCCCCACACAGTTCAACGGACCCGACAAGTAAGAGTTGTCTTCTCTCCACACAATCGGGCGTACCCTGAGGTTTCATGTCAAAGCGTATCGAAATCGGGTGCGGTTCTGGGTGGGGGGGGGGATAGACCAGAAGAACGGTGTGTGTGAAGTTATACATTTTTGATATGTATTGTTTATTGTGCTAGAAAAGAAATTTTAATGATAAAAATTCAAACTCCCATTAAAATGACACACCTCACAAGCAGCGTAAACTCACGACCACAACAACATCTATGCCTCTCATTACGATATGCCTTACACTTACAGGCAGTATAATCTCACCACATCCCTCTCTCTATCTCTCTCTCGCGCACACGCGCCTTGCAGTGGCTACTACATTGTCATAATCTCACCTTGTCCCCCTCTGTCTCCGCCTCTCCCTCTCTCTTCTCTCATCTATCTCTCTCACACTACGTGGTGGTGTCGCGTGCGACCGCACCGCCGATCATGCGCGCATCACAGCTGCAGGATTGTCATCTCTCATCTCTCATCGCTCTCTCTCTCTCTCTCTCACAGTGGCTACTACGTGGTGGTGTCGCGTGCGACCGCACCGCCGATCATGCGCGCATCACAGCTGCAGGACTTTGCGACGGCACGGAAGCAGGAGCTGCGTTACTACGTCGCCGCACAGCTGAGCGAGGACGAGCTTCGCGCCCCGACGTCGTTTGTCGTCGGCGACGCCGCCGTCCGCGGGGGCTACTACAACGCGCGGCTCGATGCTGGAGCGGAGTGTGTGGTCTACCTGGTAGCCTACAGCAACTGGGAAGGGGTAAGTGAGTCCTAGAGCAACTGGGAAGGGGTGAGTAAGTCCTACAGCAACTGGGAAGGGGTGAGTCCTACAGCAACTTGGAAGGGGTGAGTGGGTCCTACAGCAACTGGGAAGGGGTGAGTCCTACAGCAACTTGGAAGGGGTGAGTGGGTCCTACAGCAACTAGGAAGGGGTGAGTCCTACAGCAACTAGGAAGGGGTAAGTCCTACAGCAACTAGGAAGGGGTAAGTCCTACAGCAACTTGGAAGGGGTGAGTCCTACAGCAACTTGGAAGGGGTGAGTGGGTCCTACAGCAACTGGGAAGGGGTAAGTGAGTCCTACAGCAACTTGTTGTGATGTGACGTTGTGAAAAAGATGATACGTTGGAACACAATTGCAGCAAAATCGACTTTAGTTTCTTTTATTTATTCGCGCTATGTTTATTATTACTTCTAATCTATATTGTTATTACTACTAACATTTATTATTCTTTCATTCGTTTATTCGATTCGTTTCGTCCATCGTATCCTCTTTGTTTAATCGCCATTGTTCCTTTCCGCAGGAGACGAAGATCCAGGTCGCCGGCACGGCTAAGACCGTCATGGCGGGTCGCTACGAGGCATCGCCGTCTTCATCGACGTCGAACACGCCGGCGGTCGTTGCGGCGATCGTCGTCGTCGCGTTTCTCATCATCATCGCGATCATCGTCGTCGCCTTCTTCGTGTTCCGGTGAGTGGCGAGCCACGTTTTTGCTACAACCGCGTGTGTTACGACGGGTTTCGCCATGTGAAAACCAACGTTTGAGAAATACGTTGGTTTTGATAATTATTATATATAAGTATTAATATAATCGGATGAGAAATCTACAATTAGTTTAAAACTGTCGATTTTATACACCGCGATGATACGTGTAGTTTAATTGCAAAGTTCTTGCACTTCAAACCTATTTGTTTGTTACATATTTATACACGTTACACATTAGTAGTGACATTACATGTTACATGTTTACCGTGTACACGCCAACTCATAACACATATGCGTGGTTTTTTCTCCCCGCCGCACGCATCTGTCGTGCAGACGGAAGGCGAGAGAAGCGAAGAAGCAGTACAAGGCGGCGCACATGAACGGCACGTACAGCAGCCCGCAGTCGACGAACGAGACGAAGGTGCTGATGGTCGACGACTCGCTGAACAACGCGCGGCCCAGCGAGGAGATCGCGATGAGTGACATCTACGAGAACGTGCAGGTGGGCAACATGCCGGGTCGCCGCCTCGTCGCAGCGTCGTCAGAAACGAAATTCACATCTTAACGTTAGTTTTAACATGAACTTTGTCTCGTGGAATGTCGACGGAAACGCGACAGTTACGCGATTCTTGTACGCAGTGTGTGGAGAGATTTGGTCTACGAAAAAAAAGTTTGTATCTGAGAACAGGTTTCTGGAACCTGACACCAAGACAAGGAATGCCTCGCGGTGTATGTCTATCTGTCTGCACGCCTGTTTGTTTGTCTCCCTATCTTTCTCTCTCTTTTTTTCTCTCTCACACTCTTCCTCATCCTCTCCCTTTCTCTCTGTCTGTCTTTTTCTTTCTTTTTATCTTTCACCGTAGCAAAGTCATTGTGTTCAACCACTTTGTCAGTGTTTTGCGACAGCGCGTTCGTGCGGGTGCATTCACTGTTACTAACTACTCGTGTTGAGACTTGATGAGTAGATCGCTCGATGATGCTGCTCACACTCCGATCCGTGTTCGTTTAAACAGGAGAACATGGTGACGCGGCCGATCGCCGTCGGAGCGCTGCTCGGATACGTTCACGAGAAGAAGGCGACTAACGGTCTAGAGGAGGAGTACAAGGTGAGAGATGACGACACAGAACACTGCTGTCCTGCTGACCAAGGAGCTAAATATAAAAAGGAGAGGAAGCGGATTGGCTGTGTGCTTTTCGCCTCAAGGACGCCATCTATGGACCATAATCAGCTGAAACGCCTGTGCAGACCCGAACCCAGAGACAATAGAACACTAATCTGTTCTAGGCCAATATGACCAAATATGGCAAAGATTTGGGCCAGATATGGCGGCGCTTCCTCTCCTTGTTATATTTAGCTCCTTGCTGCTGACCAGGTCTACTACTAATGTTGTTGCTGCTGCTGCTGCTGTTGCTGCTGTTGCTGCTGTTGCTGCTGTTGTTGCTGCTGCTGCTGCTGCTGTTGCTGTTGCTGCTGCTGCTGTTGCTGCTGCTGCTCGCTCTACGAGCATTCTGAAAAACGCGCATCGTGTGCGATAGTTTTCTCGTGAACAGTCATGGTTGCTCTCAAATTTCAATTATGTTCCTACGTGATACGTGCAGGTGTGAAACTTTCTAGCTCAAGCCTAACTTTACACAGTATTAATGGGCTCTTGATTTCACGCGTCTGGTCACTGCATCAGTGATTGATCGTTTTGCTTCACCGACCCTCTGATAATTGAAATCCGTCATGCTCATCATCGATGAGTTGCCGAAAAGAGCAGAGAAGAGAGTAAAAAAAAGAAAAAATGAATAAGGGAGAATGATAAATGAGAAGAATAAATAATAGAGAATTAATTAATGCGACGTTGGCGTTTGCAGATGTTGCCGACGGGGATGATCGCGGCGTACGATGTCGCGAGGCAGCCCACAAACAAGAGCAGGAATCGGTTCGGCAACGTCTTCCCGTGTACGTGCCTCACCCGGGAAATTCTCTTCCCTTCTCTCCGACGCGATTGTACTCGAAGATTTTTTGTCGGTCGGACCACAGCAGCTGTAGTGCGACGGAGGGGGAGAGTCGCGGGCTCGTCGTGATGTAGATTAACGATCTTCAGCCTCGTTACCCCATCTTGTAACTCTGAGTCACGACTTTCGATTTTCGTTAAGTTTCCGCTTAGTAGTTTAGGTTTTAGCGTGTTAGTGCAGTAAGTGGTAGAGATGCTAAGGTTAGTAATTGGTAGAAGGACTTACACTCATAATAGAGGGACTAATAGTTCGAAGTAGTGTAAACGTACCACAGTCGTAATATCAGAAGTGGATTTGACGTGGATCCTGATGGTTGTGTTCTTACGTAGATGACCAGACGCGAGTGATATTAAAGCCGGTGGTTGAGATGGACTACACTCCGCCGTCCGATTACATAAACGCCTCCTACATTGATGTGAGTATCCGCAACTCGATTACGCACTTAAAGTCGGCATTACGACAGCGTTAGAACTGTCTGGTTTTTTCGGTTGGTAACAAACATATCTGTAGTGAGCGTCTCAACAAACAGACAGGCTAGAAAAATTTCGTATGCGTTTTCAACTTTCGTTGTGTATTATAATTTGTACGGAATGAGACTAGTGTTCTTATTTCAATTTCTTCAGTGTGACCGTGATTTGCCCTATCTATTTGCAGGGTTATGAAAGACCGAAAATGTATATAGCAACACAAGGTAATCCATAAGACATTTTAAGTTCGCTCTGTCAGGATTCCGTATAAAACCAAATGGATAATTCTGCAGTTTTTCGTACATTATGAAATGTAGCTGAACTGCTGGGACAATAAGAAGTATTGTAGTATTGTAGAAGTATTATAATGTTAAGATTTTATATGTATATATACATACATAATGGTAATTGTGGGCACATCTTTACGTAGCAAGTCTTATAAGAAACTTGGATATTTTATCAGAAGAAACGGGCAGAAAAAGTCAACTGCTTTCTTTCTGTGGTAAAAACGAAGTTCTGTGTGGCTGAGGAAGATTCGTGAACGTCCATCTCTGATACGTTTCAGGACCAAAGGATACGACGCTAGAAGACTTTTGGATCATGATGTGGCAGGAACCAACGACGAAGGTCATCATGGTCACCAACTGTGTTGAAGAGGGAAGGGTGAGCATCATCAGATGTCGTGTGGTAGCAGTTTGTTTTTTTCGCAGATTTACGGGTATTCGTGTATTTATTCACCAATTTCACATGCTCATATCGATAAATATTTATTTATCAATTATAAGTCATTTATTTATCAATTAATTATAAGCATTTTTTCCAAAATGCTTGCAGATAAATGTTCACGGAAATGTATTAATTTTCACGAAATTTCGCAGGTGTATGGTTACGGAAATTTATCCATTTTCTATGCAGTTTTGCACGTAGATAATGGAAATGTATTGACTTTATCTAATTTCTAATGTTAATCTATATAATATGAAATTATAACATACGTAATAATTTTAACGAGATTCTCGCGTACCCGCATGAGGACGGCACTAATGGCTCCCTCTGGTGCAGATAAAGTGCGAGAAGTACTGTCCAGACTTGGGCGTAGAGGAGTACGGCAAGATGCAGGTGAAGCATCTCGGTACAGAGACGCTAGCCGACTACACGATACGCACGCTAGAACTGAAACCGGTGAGTGACTCTCTCTCTCTCTCTCTCTCTCTCTCTCTCTCTCTCTCTCTCTC